CAAAGGCACTTCCGCAGATAGACAATTTTACGAGGGGTATGGTGATCAGACCATGGATCGGACTGAGAAGGGCGGGTTAGTCCTTACGTCAAATCGCACTAAAACCCACATGGTGCGAACATGTTGGAACAGGAAATGTGGGAAGAAGGAGGGGTGCAGGTCACCAGTGACGTCAGCACGCGTGGATCGACGCATCCGCCGACAAGCTGTGGCGGTCCCGCAAAATCACTTGTACCGCGATTCTGCAATATGTGCAAAGATACCCTGGAGTTCCCCGTGTCGACCAAACCATTCCGGTCGATTGGTTGAACAGGCCTGCACTCACGGCGTCCGTTAGAAGACTGCCATTGACCACACAGCATAGACGTCAACGTTTAGAATGGTGCCGGACTGGAGCGATGTAGATGACAGAATGGTGAAACGTCGTGTTCTCAGATGAGTCACGCTTCTGTTTATCCAGTGACAGTCGCCGCATACGTGTGTGGAGTCGACGGGGAGACAGATCTAATCCGACAGTAACTGTGGAACGCCCCACCGCACGACATAATGTTTTGGGGCGCTATTGCCTACGATTCCAGGTCAATTCAGGGCACTATGACGGCCGAACGATACTTGGATAATGAATTGCGGCCGGTGGCAATCCCCTACCTTCAGGGGCTGCCTAATGCACTTTTTCAGCAGGATAACGCTCGACCACACAGTGCTCGCATCTGCCAACATGCTGTGCAAGGTATACAGATGCTTCCCTGGCCACCGTACTCTCCTGACCTGTCACCGATCGAACATGTGTGGGATGTGATTGGACGCCGTTTGCAGACTTTGCCTCTGCCTCCTTCAGAAGACGAACTGTGGCAAATGGTTCAAAGGGAAGGGAGAGCCATCCCTCAGGACACCATTCGCACTCTTATTGACTCTATACCTAGACGTGTTTCTTCGTGCATCGCTGTCCGCGGTGGTCCTACTGAGCCGACGCCGTTCTTGCTCTGTATTCTGACTATCATTTTGAAATAAAGATCACTTATTGCTGCTTGCTGTCTCTGCCTTTTTCCAAATTTCATCATCTGACCACTCCTTCTTGGTGTTGCATTTTCAGTGTCGAGCAGTGTATATCGCATAACTCAAAAACAGTTAGCTGTAGAACGTTAAATTTTGTATACGGAACTGCAATAATATCTTTAGTTGTGCACTTTTCTTATTACTGCAGTTGGCAGTGTATATATATGTATATATCTACCCCCTTACCCCTTTTAAATATCGTTACCCGACCTTTATTTTCGCAGTCGTTAGAGTCGTAATCGTATCTTCCCTTTACAGAAGTGTTTTAAATGACGAAAAATGTTTTGGCAATGTCAAATTTTTAAAAAATAACTTTCGACGTATAACGAAATTTAACTCTTCATGCGGCCTTCTGGTTCCTATACTTATATTTGGGAACGTTTTATACTCGTTATAATAAAATAAATTATAAGATTATGGCTGCCGCGCGACAAAAACTGACCGAGATATTGAATTCAGAAGTTGCAATTTTTGATATCATTTTCAACTTGCCTTGAGAGATCAGTTAACTAAGTTAGAATCACTCTAGGAAATAAGTTTAAATGAAGCTCAACAAATAATGTGCATAATTAAATAGCCCGTACAAGGAAGTCATGTGGTGTCCATATCAGATTTTTAACTATTAATTCTGATCTGATGAAAACCATCTTCAAAATTTTGGCTCCTGGAAACATCGGTGTTTTTTGGGGAAGGGGTGGGTATTGTAAATTTATTGTGGGCCCCAAGAAATGTTTTTGCATATGGGGCACAAGAGTTCTAGTAACGCCACTGCTTACAAGCAGTTATCACAAATGAATTGTAGTAAAGTACGGTTATAACAGTTTCTTCAAACAGTCATATTTTTTGTTCAATTATCGCACCTTTGTAATTTATTCTGTTATGAATTCTTGGTTTTAAGATAAAAACTATTATATTCATTTTTATATTATATTTTGTCTTTAAAAAAGACACTGTAATTGAACAGCTATTTCCTCAAAAAAGGATTACGTATAAGTTCAAATCAAAAATGATTTCCTTACAAACGAAAACTCCCTACATTTTAAGATCGTTCCAAACATCCTTTCTTTGTCTTTCTTATAATCAAAAATTTCTCCTATAATGGTAGACGATTGTACGTGTATTTCCGTTACTCAGTAGAATAGTACGAATATAAATTCGCGTCCCCAAAGTACACAGCCAACACAAATTTAGTCCTGTGATTAGAAGAAGTAACTACCTCATAGCTGAAACAAGCTCCACTCATCAATTATAACCTTCGTAAAGTTATCAGAGGATCTTGCACGCCTATCATCTAAAAATTGGAATGATTTGAAGTTTAGCCGATTACGGCAAAGCATACGAGGGCTATCTGCCTAAGGGAAGCGATGCCTTCGTGAAGAAATTTCTAAGGGAAACTGGCTCGTATAATACATAGGGAAAACCACGAAAACGCCCATACAGCCAGTCCATTCGCCTGTAATGGAACCTAAGGCAGAAGTAACAGTATTCAGCGATTTCACCGCTCCGCCTTTGGTAGGCCAAAAAATTGAGATGATATTCTACTTAATTATTCTAAATAACTTCTGAACTTTTCAAAATCTGTTATTTTAGAAGGGGAAATGTATCTCGTTAGAGGGGTTTTAAAACCATATTTAACATTGATTCACTCAGACACTTATTAATAGCCACGACATACAATCGAATCCTAATACGCGATATTATCTTTTAACTTCTTCCTTTTATTTACACATTCTGCATATTACCAGACTGGTGAGTAAATGTTTTCATTTCCGGTACCCGGTAGCTCAGTACTAATAAATTTTGTACACTAAATTTTGTAAAATTTTTAATTGAGAAATGTGTTAAGTACCATATCACATATTCTCCTTTAACCCTCTCACTGCGTACATTTTTTTTATCAAAATAGGTTCAAAAATTGCGTATTTTTTATTGCATATTTCAAATCTACATATATTTTAGAGTTAAAATATACAAAAATTTTTTTGTTAAATAGTTTTTTTCAATATACTAGAATTAGATCATAGAAAAAAGGTTGTCAAATACTGAAATTGAAGAATAATATATAAAGGAAATTTTGAAAATTAATATTGGTTAAATTTGATTTATTTTATAAAATACAAGGTAAAACATATATACTAATGAAAATATTTGCATAATGTAATATTTTGCATATCAATTTTGCACCACTGTCGAACGTTTTCAATAGAAACTGAATTTTCAGATTCATCACTATCTGCAGAGGAATCCGAGAAATTCTCATCAGTTTCGCTATAATTATCTTCAATATACTTGAAATCAGAGTCAGAACTACTATAAGTGTAGGGAATATCGTCAAGAATATAGGTTCTATCACTCGCGAAACGCTTCCTGCCAGACATGTTTAAGCTCTGAAAAGCGCGCGCAAAATGCTACATTAGATATATGTATATTTGGCAGAAATGTGGACAACTAACGCCATCTGTTAGCTGACATCTAAATAAACAATTAAACATCACAGAAAAACCGAAAGGAAACCTTGAACGGGGAAAGAGCGGGTTGCACAGTTAAATAGACGGCAAAAATTCATCCCCGCGGAAATTGTGGGTTGCACAAATTTTGCTACTTTTACGTTGCCCGTGGAAATCGCGGGATGCGCAGCGAGAGGGTTAATTTTGGACACCAATGATAATGATTTGTGATGAATACTGCAAACTGCATTATCTACGGATGATCCACATTTTAGCTACCGGACCAGAGATTTTGAACCTTTCAGTAAAATTAATTTTGCACATCTACATCTCTCTGGTAAGAAAAATGAGCCTTCCTGCTCTCAGGCTGCTCAGGTTCGTCATGCTTTAGACAAAACTCTGACACTCTGTCTACTACATTGAATCCACACCATACACGTGAATATCAAACATATTGGATTAAAATGACATTCAATTTGTTAATTATTGATTAAGTTTTCGCCGAAATATATGAGTCAGTGTTTGAATTTTCTAATTGCTAGTGAAAGAAAGAAAATTTTAACGAATGACTGTGACCTTTTCTTTTGCTACGTTTCTGTAGGACAAGAATCTAATACATATCTCAGAAATGTGATATATCATTTAAAGTGAATTACCATGATCCGATATCTTTAAGGCAGGGTACATGCATTTCTCTAGGCTCTAGTTTTGTTAAGTTCAGTTGCATCTTCAGGCCAGCAGATGGCAAATCTTGTGTAACATCAACATTAGCTGTAACTGAAACATTCCCAGGGTACAAAATGGGATCTGGTTTGACGGATCCTCTGTTGATAGTTACTTTTTTGTTTGCACTTCCTGAAAAATCAATAAAAATAAATAGCATTTTTAAAATATAGCAAGCATTTATAAAGTACAATAAAGTATTTCTTGGGTTTTAAAACGAACCTTTTCTCTGTTACATAAAAGCCTCTATAAAAGAGGGTGGATCTTAAAGGCCCCCCCTTTTTTTTTTCCTTTTAACTGCTGTTCTTTTCTTCGAATTTTTTTCTCATTGCTCACGATATTCAATCTGTTTTCTCAAGAACCCTGCCACCAGCCGTAATCTTTTGAGGCTTTCACTAGTTCCTTTGAAGAATAAAGCGACACGGTTTCATTTTCCACACAAAACATCCTTGTTTGAGGTGTTAAAATTATTTTGGCTTTAAATTATTTGCCATTTTACTATAACAGTGTAAAAAAAAAAAAAAAAAAAAAAAAAAAAAAAAGAAAGTATTATAAAGGAAAGCATAAACTTTCATGTTCAATGAATTCTCCTCCTTCTACCCCATTTTTTCAAGTGCTAGGTGATATCACTCTTTGGTTTTAAATGAAAAATATTCATAGGACGTTGTTCCCAGATTATCATTAGTATGCCCATTTACTGCAGCCCATGCAAAACGATGCCTTCAGAGCACATAATATTCCAAAGGAGAAAGATATAGATTATAATGCTGAAAAGGCAAAATTTTCATCCTGTCAAGATCTTGCATTATATTGGATAGTTTTTATAGGGGTTACAAATGCAATTGTTGTCATGTTGCAGAAGAGCTCTTCGTTTGTTCATCTAACTGGGATACGTTTCCTGCGGAGAAGCACCCATTCTTTCGAAAGGATATGAAAGTCAAAGTTGGTGCACCACATAAAAGAGAATTACTTGCCCGAAATTCTGTCAAATACTGTTCATAAATTTTTCTTCGAATTATCACCTTTTACAATAGGTTCTACTAATTTTCCACAGTTTATCTATCGTTAATCTACGTATCGAATGTATGCGCACTTTTCATAGTACATCATCGCACTTCTCAAAACTGCAGATTTGAACTGTTGTCAGTGCAAAGCTCCAATTGTCTGTTTGCTTAATCTAATATAAAATCATGGGATATCTATCTAAGATTTCTGTACATTTTGATAAGCTGTGTGATACTCATCCTATAGTTCAAGGCCTTAAAAGGGTTTAAGTCCATAGACTGTCTAAGCCTAAGATCTTCTACAAGTTTCTGAGTGTTACTAGTAGTCGGGTTCAGCTGTAGTTCCGACAAATAATGACTTATCATTTCTGGACTCGGTTTGAAGAGAGAAGTTAGTAGATTTAATGAGTTTCAGTTCTGGGCCTATACTCTGATACTATTTCTTCTTTCTTCAACTTAACTTTTCTCAACTTCAACTCAAATTTTGCAAGCGGTTTCTCGCTTTTGAACCAAAACTTAATTAAAAGTGTAGCATGAATAAAATTTTAATACTTGTGTCTGCCATTCTTACACCTGAAGCAACGTTAAAAAGCAGTTAATATTTATAGTAAAAGGAAAGTCAGGTGTTCATTTTAAAACGATATATTGCTGAAATTAATAGACCGGGGGGGTAAGGGGGGCATCTGTCTCCGGGCGCAGAATCCAAGGGGCACCAATCTGATGTTATGGCATTTTAGAATTATATGTTTTCCATCCTTGGCAAGCAGTAGGGGGCGCGAAATCTTCAGTTGTCCCTGGGCGCTGAAAACTCTAGCTACGACTCTGTAGTAGACCTATACGTATGCGAAACTTAGTGACAGATGTACGCACAAGAAAGCAAAGTACTTTGATATATATCAGTCATTGCCAGTCAAGAAATTTTGATTTTATCTTCGAAAATTCAGATATTAAGTTACTGTATTTCATGCATTCTAATTCTTTTCGGAAATCACTATGCTACAAAACGATTACACTACGAGGTCGCACTAAACCTAAAAGCTATTGTTTGTGTAGAAAACAATGTGAATAGAACTGCTTATTGACATTTGATGATAGGGAAGTGAACTTTCGTGTATCCTTAAAGTAATGTACAGTGCTTATTAACAATGAAACGTTTAAATTAGCATAAGAAAAGATTTCCTCAAATCGAAGAAGTTAAGATATTTTTTGTAACGCTTAAAAGGATTGTCCATAATTCTGTAAACCATACAACCGATAGCCGGTGAAACTGAGATCTATTTCAAGTGCCTTAAACGGGGGAATGAATTTTTAAATACACTTGCTGCTGGACCTGTGTGTCGTAAACTTTTACCGGATTGGAAAACTGGTTAAGTGTCAGTGACACATGATCAAAATACGAAAGAAAAAATTTAGCCAAGTAAGGCGTGCTGATGAAATGCAGTCTTTTACAATAAGGCTTGAATTCAAATCATCATCGCTGAATATGATGAAATAAAACTAAAATTATAGGCACGGATTACGAAAAGCAGCGTGTCGATGGGATGCCATGCATTAAAACTGTTAGTCAGATGTTTTCCAGCATATTTAATTTTAATTGAAAAAATCCATACAGAAGAATAAAATGTTTGTCAAAACTTGTTATTTAGGCATGCTCAGAAAAATGAACGAGTGGCTACAGTGCTTATAATGACTAATTTATTTCTTTGGTTGTGGCAAAACTCTCGAGGACTATCTGCCCAAAGAAAGGGACGTCTTCGTGGAGGATTTTTAAGGCAAAATGGTCTGGTATTTACGTTACGCAAGTAGAAAAACACAAATCTCTCATGCAACCAGCCTGTTTGCCGGGATGTGAACCTAATATTACCATTCAGCCGCTAGTACACCGCCGAGCTTATAAAGTCTGGTTAATCACTGCGAGAAACAGACATCTTAGAACAATCTGAAACTCCTTTTTTTTTTTTTTTTTTTTTCATGGATTACATTCTCTTCATGCATTTCACAGGAATTTTTCTTAATTGTCAAGCCAGAAGCTAGGCAGAGATATTTCAAAGTGCAAATTAGTTCTATCCTATATCATTATGACAGCACAACCTGCAAGAATAAAGCAACGCCGTAGACAGGAATGCTATCGTAGAATTTCAACTAGTTACGTGGTCTTCAGCAGGCGGAACATGCTCTGGTTAAAACAATCGCAAACCATCACTTAAATGCACGCGAACTAAATTTGCGATCTGGTAGAGAAACGGAAAGGGAGAAGTGACATTAAAGATTCGTAGCATAAAATAACTGGTTCATTAACATGAATACCTTACACATTGATTTTAAAAAAGGGGGGAGGATATCATACTGCTGATAAATAGCATAAACAAATGGTATTGTTATTAACAAAACAAATTTTATCTTAATACAAATATTTCGCCTTTTATTTTAGTTTCTTAGAATAATTTTTTCTTTTCTCTTCTTTTTTCTAGTCTAAAGGGGCAATTTGCCCTGAAGGACTATTTTTTCTTTATAACATTTTGCTTTGGTTCGCTATAAATGTCCGATTCACTTTTCAAATTGTTGCCACCACATATTATCGCCCTGGGTTGGGTTATGGGTTATTCAATTTTGGCAAAGCACACGACGGCTATCTCCCTAAAGGGAGGGATGCCTTCGTGGACGACTTTCTAAGGGAAACTTGCTCGTATACACGTTACACATGGAGAAAACCACGAAAACGCCCATGCAGCCAGCCCGTTCGCGGGATTCGAACCTCGGATCGAACTACCAGTGTTCAGCGTCTTTACCGCTCGGCCGCTGGTGGGCCCCTATTATCGCCCTGCATTATATTTAAAGAAATTAAACAATGAAGAATTTGCATAAATGTATGTATGTTTCTCGAATTGTGATAAAACAATGGTACCTAGAGCCATTCAATTTTGAATAACGTACGTTTCTACCACAATATGAGCATCTGGAAGGCCAACTTTGGAATTCGTTTTATTATCTATTTCGTAAAACTTTAACGGATTTTTGATTAACAAACTCAACGATTTAAAGCGAGCAATGGCAACACTCTACGGGGCGGGGAAAAACTTTTTATCTTCAGCGCGCGGAACAGTGCTTCGGAAATTCTAAAGATATGCTCATTTTAAATTATTTTGCGATATTGCTGTTGAATTTTATGGTTTAAGAAGAACATGATATTTAAACAATAAAGGTAACACACGAAATGTTAAAAAAGCACCCCTTTGGACGTAATTTAAAATCTGAAACCTTTCAGATTTTTTTTTTTTTTTTAAACTGTAGTTAAGGTTGCGACTTACCAATCGATACGCCTTATAACTGTAACAAATACTCATTCACCATTTTCCTAAGCTGCCGTTATCACCAAAGACGTAGATCGCAAACTTACTATCAGTTTCTGTTTAATGCACCTGTTGAACAATAATCAAGTCAGCAGGAAAAAAGATACTGCGTACTAACTGATTAAAAGAACGGAATAGTACAGATGAGTTTTACTAACAGGAAGATTCCTGAATAACTCAATTATCCTCAAATATATCCTAATTAATCATCAGGAAAACAGGAACAAAGAAACATTATCTGCTCTAAAACGTGATAACCAAGAATCTAATAGCAACAGCACTCGAACTACAAATTGACAAGATAGTATCTAGATGGCATATAGAGACTTATATGCTTTTATTGACAACACTTCTAAATTCCCCTGAGCTCTACCCATATTATATCATTTTATGAATTGTGATCAGAGTGAGCGTGACCGAATCCATGAAATAGGAAATTCCAGCTTCTAAATAGAAATATCGATTAAGACAATTGTATGTAAGCGAATAAATCTATAAATATAAATATTAATAATTTACGTATAAATTAGAAAACCCCATAAAACTAAATTATGATTTACGATGTGAAACAGATATATACAAATATATATTAGTTGCACAATTTTGATACTACTAAAGTACTATTGATATTACACAATTTAGTATCATACTTTCAGTTTGTTGAAAATGTTTATTATGTTCAAACACAATTTAAAATTAACATTTTAAATAAATGTTTAAACAATTAAAATAATTTTATAATATTTTAAAAATTATATTAATACAAATTCAATATTTT